CTCTCTCTCTCACTCTCTCTCTCTCTCTCTTTCTCTCTCTCTCTCATCTTCAGCGACAGCGTCATTCAGTTGATCTGCGTTGCCAAGGGAACAGGCCTGGGGCTTGTCATCAAAGGCGGAGCCAACCGTGACGAAGGACCAATGGTGTTCATTCAGGAAATCGTGCCTGGAGGCGACTGTCATAAGGTCAGATTCCCGCAACCTTTACGACCACTGAGCCACCGAGCCGTAGGAAACCACGTCCTGCTCCATGTTACCAGAGGTGTCCCTCAGGGCTCCGTCCTCAGTGAATCTAAACACTAGATTCAGCTTCACCGATGCAGATGACACCCACATTTATATTCAAACCTAAAAAGTTATTTGATACTTAATCACCATTTCAGATTCACAAAATAAACTTCAGCTTCCTGTCAATAAATGTTCAACTTTTGTTTCATTTATATATTTTATTTCATTCCGAGTTTTAATTCCATATTTTGCTTTAAACTTAAAATTGCCATGAGGACCATCATGGTTCACTAGTGTTAATTAAAAGTGTCTGATCTAAATGTGTGTTTGTGCTGTTTCAGGACGGCAGGCTGCAGGTCGGGGACCAGCTGGTGTCCATTAACAAAGAGTCTCTGATCGGTCTGACGTACGAGGAGGCGCGGAGCGTCCTGGCTCGCACCAGACTCAGGTCTGATCTGAATGTATTATTAATTGAGTCAATAATTACAGCTGAATAACAATAGAATTGTTTTCTATGTATTTATACTTCATCACTTAAATAAAAAGTTTTTATTCAGATCAGACCCGACGGTGGAAATGGCCTTCATCAGACGCAGGTTGTCCTCCAGCTCCAGCAGCGGGCCCCACAGCCCCATTTCCCTCCAGGGGTCAGGAGGTGGAGGCGGGCCCCAGACAAGGGCCCCTGGGCTGGGGGCCAGGCCTCCGCAGCCGTCCATGGTGACCAAGATCTCGTCTAGCCTGAATCCCTCCAGTGAAACGCTGCCGGCCGTCAACGTGAGCCAGGTCCGACGTGATTTCACTTCATAGTCGCTGCAGGGGAACATGATTATCTTAAATCCATCCTCTGGGATATTTGCAGACCCTCATTAACAACTGTGTAAATGTTGCAGGTGTGTGTGTCTCCAGTCAGGACGGATCACACTGGTGTTTCGTCTCCGCCGCAGAGCGTCGACGCCTCCGACACAAATGCTGGTATGTTAATATTAAGGGGAAATTAAAGTGAACAGCAGACAAAGATAAAAATCACCACAAAACCATGAACCAATCAGAGGCCAGGCGTGGGACAGATGGCGTGTGGTTGGCTGTTAGTCAGAGGAGGAAGTGAGGCAGGCAGGAGGTCTGGCCTGTGATTGGCTGTGGAGGAGAGACAGTGATCCTCTGGTCTCTGTTTGTGTTGTTCTCTGACAGTTGGGCGAAGCAGGTCGAACAGATTCTGTCTGAAAACAATAAAGTTTAGATTCAAACATTCATTTTAGTACGAATAAATAAAATAGAGACTGAGCGACCTGCCGACGTTAACAACATATTTGTTTTCAACAAGACTTTGAATGAAGATGATCGACATGACAGGGCCCGAAAAAATGAAGCCAAAACATCTGGATCGCCCCCTGGTGTCTGACTGGAGGATAGATTATTAACCTCCTCCATGTTAGCAGATGGGACATGAACCAAACTAAAAAGACAAAGTAGACGTTAAATAAATGTTTGTCAAAGATGTTTCTGTCGTTTCAGCTCGTTCTCATCTCACTGATGTTCAAGTGTCTCTGATCAGTTTGGTTTGAATCAGTTATTTGATGATATAAAAACAGGCGGAGACGTCATGATTGACAGCTGACAATGACTCAGGATTGGTGGAGTGTGTGTGTGGGCGGGACCTCGACCCCACGGCTCCAGGATCACTACTGCAGAGACTCAGTCGATTATGTCATCACCACAAGATGGCCGTGTTTGTATCCGAGAGATTTGACTTTGTGTCAAAGTCATAATTTACAGTCTTTGATCTTTGTTTACAGTCTTTGATCTTTGCTTACAGCTGTCAGTCAGACTGAATCAACACGAGCTCTCTGATCGGTCTCATCTTCTGTTTGTGTGGATTTTTTGGTTGTTGTTTATTTGAATGATTTGATTCACCAGAGCCAATCAGCATTCAGTGTCCGGCTCCGCAGAGGAAGTGCTCGCTCGCCAGCTGTCGCCTCAGACTGGAGCGGATGGAGCAGGTTCGTGTTTGTTCTTATGATTCACTCAGAGTCATAAAATCCTCGATTTGACTTGACCACGTCATGACATCACTTCCTACTAGTGGCAGAAATTACACTCTGTGTGTGTGTGTGTGTGTGTGTGTGTGTGTG